GGGCGGGGCAATCGGGGGCTGCCGGTGGCACACTCGAGCGTCACGCCATTTCCACGGCGAGAACCGCGCCGCGGGTCTTGCTGAGCACAGGCGCTGCTGCCCAAGGCAGCTCATTCCATGGGGATGATGGGTGCATGGAAACGGGAGGCCGAGGCTCGCGGTGCCAGCGGGGCAGGCAGAGGATTGGGGTGAAAACTGGCTTTTTAGGAACAGCAAACCATTCCTCACGCCCATCAGCACAGAGCAGCGCTTTCTGTGCGCATCCATCCACACCAGTCGCCAACGGGACCGAGAAACACGTCACTGCGGAAAATACCTTCGGAGCTGGCCTCACCTTTCTTCATTTCCTTCTCCTTCTTGAAAATCTTGCCGGTCTCTTCCATGATCATGGCATCTCCCTTCTCGCACAGGCACAGGACCGACGCTCCGGAGCTGGCCGCCTCCACCACGGCACGCAGGACCCCTTAATGCCAACACAGACACGGAGCGGTTGGAGCACGTTAACGACAAAAGGCCCTAAACCCAACGGCAGCGCTCCCCACGCCGCACCGCGGCGAAAGAGCCGCTTGTTTTCTAGGAGAGAACCAGAGCCTGGGCTCAGCTCCTCACCAAGAGGACCGCGGACAGGCGGACATCCCACTTTTTCATGTTTATTTTATTTTATTTTCGCAGAGCGCACGAGCGAACCAGCGTAGGTCGGGATTCGCGCCGCTCCGGACGGCTGCCGGCGCAGACTGAGGTGTGCCGAACAAAGCAGCCAAGCCGAAACACCGAAACACCGCTCTCCCACATTCCTTCTGGAGAAGTCAGAGCTACAGAAACAGGTTTGGGAATTCCTCGGGAGACGGGACGCGCGGCACATCAAAGGAGCCGGGGCCGCTGCCGAGGACGCGCGGGACCGGAGGTACGGGGCAGCCCAAAGGCTTTGCCGGGCACAGGAGCTGGCAGCGGCGCGGCAGAGCCGGTTACGCCAGTCCCTTACTCCGCAGAAACGCGGTTTGAAGGTAACCCACGTGCTCCGGCTCCGGCCCGGCAGCTGCCCAGCGCAGGGAATTCCACGCTGCCGGGCAGGAGGGGGAGTTTTCCTGCCCCACTTTTGGGGATGTTCTGGTGCCTGCGAGTCCCAGCAGCGTTTCGGTTGCGCCGCGGGTGACGGCGTGCCTCGTGCTTTAGAGGGCAAGGGGGGAAAGGGGCGGAAAAGCGGCAGC